ACTACACACACACACACACACACACACACACACACACACACATACACACACGCACGCACGCACACCATGCACGCACGCACGCAACACATGCACACGCACACATACATATATATACACACAGGATATCCCATCTTAAACGTCGCAGACAAATATCTCGAAAATTAAGAATACGAAAGTGTTTTGGAAAAATTGCAGAATTTTGAGTAAGAAAAAGGATGGTAACAAGTTTCAAAAACGTCTCGACAGCTACAAGAATATGCAATAAAAAATAGAAGTTCTTATGTCAGATTTTTATGTTGATCTTGACGAGTTTTTTCAAGGTATTTAAATATTACAATCTTTTTTTCCCTCCTCGAAATTTTACAACTTTTGTCGGAAGCATTTTTTCGTGTATTTCTTAATTTTCAAAATATTTGCCCGTGGCATTTAAAATGGGATCATCTATATGTATATATATACATCTAAAACTATAATATTAATGTTTCCTATTACTTATTATATATTATAACGTTTCCTATTAGGTACTCATAGTAACATTTTTGTAGAAAAAAATATCTATAAATGTAATATTGGTTTTTTATTGACGTAAAAGCAGCATTTACACCTTCATAGATACTATGAGGTATTCAGCCTGATATACGAACATTATTTCCGGAGTAGACCGAAGTTATATACATAGCTGCATAACAGCCCGAAATTATTCACGCATATTAGCTATACATACACTGCAATAATTATGCGTGTCTATGTGCTAATTATCAGAAATTGAATTATGAGTAAAATTAATGGTACGTATTACTTTAAACGTTAATTAAATATAAAATAGCTATATAAAATAATAGTTATACAAAATACATTAAATAGAAAATAAATGTATCTTTTTCGTAAGATGTGATTAAAAATAAAACCGTATAAAATTATATCAATAGGATTTGCAGCAATCTGCCGCCGAATATATAAAGTTAGAGCACATGCTTTTACACAATTTTGAAAGATTATACACTATATTTGCATATTTAGTAATATGTTTGAAAGTAAATAGTCATGTGATAAAAATAAAAGAATGGTCTTCTCTCATTATACCGTCAATCATTTTCAAGATGCAATTAATTTTTTAATAGCAAAATAAAGTGGATGTTTGCTGATAAATTATAATATTACTTCATGAAACATGTATCAGATCTCAGAAAAAATTTACATTTTGCTTCTTTAAAAATATATCACGTAGCAAATAAATTTTAATAAAAGCTGCATTTTCTGCTGCTATGATACTTTGTACAAGATATTTGATGTCGCAATATATCGTTAGTTAAATTTACAAGCTATATTACAACATTCTTATTAGTTTAAAATCTACCTTAAACTATGTACAATTAAAATGTCCCTATACATTACTAATTTCATGTAAAGTATGCTTAGGTTTTGCAAAAGGTAGTTTTGGGATTATTGATTCTTGTTTATTAAGTGAACGATCAAAGTAAATTATATACATATTCTTCAACATGATTTAATGTAACCACACATAATTAACTTTTCCTAAGCAATTTCCTTAACGATGAATAGTCGAGATTATTTAAATTATAAAGTATTGAAATTTAGATATTGTTCTCTAATATTATTAATATTATTGTATTTATTATGTTTGAAAAAAGAAAAAAAGATGCTTTATATGTATTTTCAAAAAATACAATCATTAATGAGCGCATCTTCCTATGGTTGATAACATAATAAGCGGTATGATGAACCGCGATTCTCTCTTCATATAAATATGCAATTGGATGAACGCGGATTTATTTTATTCCTAAACAAAAAAAAAACACAAATCAATCTTATTTTCTATTAAAATAAATTTAAAATTATGCTTTATTAGACTGCAAACAATTTTTGTAAAAGTTCCACACAATAGCTGTTTTTTATATTGTTTAGGATTATTATTAGAATCTATATATCTACCACACGAAAATGTACTATTTATTCTTTCAAAATGCAGTAATGCAAATCATCTTATAGTGTATGTGTATGTGTATGTGTATGTGTATGTGTGTGTGTGTGTAGTGTGTGTCTGATGTGTGTTGGTGTTGGGTGTGTGTGTGTGTGTTATATAATTCTCTAATTATATATATTATTAGAAGGCACATAATATTATTTATGTTATTCATAACATATTTATATAACTTTATATAAATTATTTTTGTGACGATAAAAATTATTATATAATTTTTCAAATAGAATTCATAATGAAAAGAATTATTCACTGAGAATAAAAAATATCTTTATAGAATGTTTTTCAATGACATTACTAAAAGTTAATTGTTATTTATTGAGCTAACATAATTGCATCAGTTGATTATTATTCAAATTGCATCATTTACATTCATAGAATTATAATATAGTGTATAAAGCGTAATGGCTGTAAAATCTCGTTATTTTCTATTTTTAAATCTGCCATCAATTTATCTTAATCAATAAAAGTACGAATAATATTTCAGAATGTATCTTTTATATACTTAGATTGGTAGTATCACAAAATATCGATTAAACCGGGTTGACAAAAAGTTATACTATTTATAAACCTAGAATAAATATAGCTCTATATAACTTTATATTACAAAATGTGTTCAGGATCTTTTAGAGACAAATGAATTTTGTGCTTTACCTTACGACCCTGCCTTTTGGATGCTTTTCGAATAACCTTGGATTCTTTGGACTCTTGCACTTGTTTATTGTGCCCCAATCTGAAACGTACAGGAACCTTCGAGTCAATGGTACTTTCATCTGTAAATAAAAAAGCAAGAAAATAATTGTTTTGTACTGTAAAAAACAAAAATACTTGCATATAATTGTAAAATATGTTCTTCATATAGAAACAGAAAAAAAAAATACCTTCAGAATTGTGTAATTCAGTTAATGATCGATGCAGCACAGTAACCCGTCTAACTTCCTTTTGATTAGCTATAAAGAAAAAAAAACATTTATTATTATAGAAATTATAACATTAATCAATTTGGACAAAAAAAAAAAAATTAATCGCAAATATATATATATTTTTTATACTTACATTTTTCATCAGTATTAATTACATGCCTTTGGTTAGTTTTTGCATTATTTTTTACAACTCTGTAAGAATAAAAATGATATAAGTAATACTGTTGTAAGGAAGAAAAAAAAAAGAATATTGTACATTATTATACTAATACTTACTCATTCACAACACCTTTGAAAGCCGATTGCACTAATCTAGCGGCGGATTGAATCGGTACAGTTCTATTCAATTTTTCCGCACGTTTTCTGCTAAGTGCTGCTCGTAAATCTCCTTCCTCGTCTATCGCTATGTCTCCAAATACGACATCCACTTCTTCATCAGAGACTACGTCTTTACGTTTCTTACATTTTTTATCTTTCCCGATACGTTCAGAAAGCGGCAGTTCGGTCTTCAATTTTACTTGATATATCTCTTTATCACGTCTCTTCTTTTTCTTTGAAGATTTTTCCTTCTCCGTTTTCGGTGGTTCTACGTCCATACATGTATTTACAGGATCTATAACATCACTCGGAGATGTATTTTCCATTGTTTCTTCAAATTCCACAAATTCATAATCTGATTCCAAGCATGCGTCTATTTCCTGAACATCATACTCTTCTAAAGTTGTTTGTTTGACTTTTCTTATAGCAATTGAGTCCAAATGAATCTCCGTTTCTTCCGGAGATTCTACTTTTGTATTTGTCGTGTGCTTCTTGGACAATTTAATCTTTTTATTGGCATTTACGGGGTTGATAGGCCGCGTAGATTCGAATTTCTTTCTTCTTGCCTCGAGTACGGGATCGCTGACTGTATCAACGGATTCCTTTTCTGCCGACATTGGTGCTCTCTCGTACACTTCATCTTTCTGTTTTGCCTTCACTCTCGGCATTTCTGGCGTCGTTGTACCTTTGAAAGTCGGAGATGAATCTCTTACATATTCGACTCGATTATCCGGAGTGATGGAACGTGAAGTACGCTTTCTGGGTAATTCTTTAGGTGACCACTTCGGCGGAGATCGTCTCCGTCGCGGTGAGAGACGAGGCGAATGCCTCGGAGACGACCACGGCGACCTGTGCGGCGAGAGTCGCGGTGATTTCAAGCGAGGCGGTGTTCTACGCGGTGAGACTTTTGGCGATCGTAAGCGAGGAAGAGGAGACAAAATCGGAGATCTAGATGCAGATCGTAAACGACGGGGCGACCCTCTTCTTGGGGATAATCTGGGAGATTTGGATCTAGGTGATCTAAGTAGTGGCGAGTACCTCGGCGATCTCGGCGAGTACCTTGGTGATCTCGACCTCGATAATCGCGGCGATCTAGAATGCGATATTTTAGGCGAACGCAATCTCGGAGATTTCGATCGAGGCGATCGTCTCGGCGATTTCGATCTGTGCGGTCGAGGTGATCTGGAACGTGACAAAAGCTTCGGCGATCTGCCTCTCGGTGATAATTTCCTCGACGGTGATCTTTTGATAGATATTCTGTTTGGCGATCTACGCGGTGAGATTCTGGGCGATCTGGACCTTGGAGAATATCGCGATAATGGAGATCTTCGAGGTGATCTATACCTCGTCGGTTCCCTCGGAGACTTCTTCAGTTGCCTGATTGGGGATCTTCTAGGGGATCTTTTCGGTGATTTTTTTCGCGATCGTGACCTTGGAGACAAAGACCTACGTTTTTGACTAATCCGATTGATGTGCGGAGAAACCGATTTCCTGTCATTCTTCCCAACTGTATTCAAACTTGAGGTAGTCGTGTTGTTCCTCTCCTTCTTTACGGAGTTTTCGTCTGACTTCGTCTTGTCAAAATTTTTATTTTCTTCATTACCCTTTATTGTATCCTTGGTTTTGCCTCTATTCAATTTTTTCTCTCTCTTTTCAGATGGCTTCCCATCATTCATTTCCCTCTCCATTTCGTCCATTAAGCGATCCAAACTGTCTTCTTCCTCGAGATCGGCCATTAAGAGTATATCATCATCATCGTCATTGCCCTCTTCTTCTTGGTTGTCTCCATTCTTTTGCAGACTCTCCATGGTTTCTTCCTGACTTTCCGTTTCTAACAAACATTCCTCTGATTCCTCTTTTGCTATAATTTCTGTTTTTGCAGAAGTTGCAATGCCTTTTTGCTCTTTTGCATCTTCATCTTCAGAACCACTTCCACTATCTTTAAAACGATGGAATTTTGATACTTCTGAAATCACGATTATACAAAATTGTTTAATTTTTAAAAAAGAAGATAGATACATTATTAGTATTAATGCTCAATATAACATTCTTATTTTGCGTAAAAAGATAATAAACTTACCTTCAGGACATGATTCTATACGTGATTCAATCTTTTCTACAGGAGAAGATAATTGAGTCTGTTGAAGTGGAGAAGGTTCATCTACAGGAACTATCGCTATTAAATTTGGATTACGAGGACTTTGATAATATACATTCTGCAAATATAAAATACAGATGTATAAATCAAACATATCGAATTAAAATAAATCATTATAAATTATAATATAAACATTATATATAATATTTAGAAAACTATTTAGTAGACCATTTATTCAAATATATTTTAAACGTTATAAAGTTAAAAACACAGTGATTTTGTTTATTTAAATATTTGCATATAATATTATTTGCAAATAATACATAAAAAAAGTGATATATTGAAAACTTACGCCATTTTGTCTTTGTTGTGCTTTGTAATAAAAATTTTTCTTCATAGGCCATTGATTTTTATACGGATAGCGAGCTGATTGTGTTACTTGTGCTGAAACTTTTTGCACTTGCGATGACCTTTTATATGAGGCATCCTTTGTTCTTAATGTTTCAAGAGCTGCCAATCTCAATGCTTCCAAATCATCCTCATCATCATCCTCAATTTTGATTTTTGATTGAGAAATTACAACCATCTAAAATAGATAGTAAATAAAATGTTTTAAAAATATCACAGCAAAGGAAAAATAATGAAGAGCAAAGTTGTTTCTGCTGCCTTGAAAACTGCCACTTCTGCATAAAAAATATGCATAAGTAGAAAATTTATCACAAAATATAAGAATAATTAAAATGTTTTTCGCTATCGAGTTGATTTGCACTCCAAGCTGTTATGGACAGATTTTTATGAATAGGTTGTCGAGTGTACAATCATCTTTAATCGAAATTTCGTTGATAGACCAAAAATACCATAAAGCGTGATGTATTCCTTAAACATTTGAATTGACTTTGTTGATGTAGACTTACCTTTTGGCGATGATCCATTTTATCAAGAAGAGTGCTGGGAAGAAAATTGTAGTGTTCACAGTAATCACACCTCGATGTAATGTTCGCATGAATAATTCTAAATATTCACGCTGAGCGCACGCGAAAATTTCGCGTGTCACATGCGTCGAAGGTCCATTTCAATTACATATTGACAGACGATACATTTCTCTGATCAACTTTTAGATTATCGCAAATCGCACAAAAATTACTCCACTTCGTCCCCCTGCACATAAATAAAAATGGCGTACAAAGCTCAGCCGAAACTATGAAAATTCATTAGAAGAGAAACTCAATTGGGTTCTTATGCTTATGTAGACGGACATGTATAGTCAGCGTCAGACTATGCAACCAGATGCAACTTGTTGCAGCATTCGCATGCAATCTAGTAAATTACTAGAAATGCTGTGTGCTGTATGGTGCGTTTTTTGTAGTTTACTAGAAAGCATAGTCTGATGCAGGCTTAACATTCAGAGAAATCAACCAATCAGAATACGACAAGAGACAAAATATACAGGATCATATTTTCTGTAATAAAATTAGTTGATGCGGTAATCAATCGATTTTCTGCAATCTATGATCTAACCTAATCTAATAATCATCTCTTAACCTTAATGACACTTGATGATGCAAATTGACAACAAAATTTTGAGGTTAGTAAAGATTTTTAACGTAATTTAACACTGTTCCACATCTTAGTACTTACTTTATTTTATAATATTTTTTTCAGGTGATAAGACGGAAAAATGTATACAAGATATTTTATCTTTTTTGCACTTGCTTGTTGTGTACTGATATTTATAAGAGTATATTATTTAATATTTATCAAACGCAATAAGCCCAGAGGAGAATCTTGTCCAGTTAAAACAATGATAATATTAGGATCTGGAGGACACACAGCCGAGATGCTGCGAATCATTAACCATTTGAACTTTAAGAATTATTCGCCTAGAATATATATTTATGCTCAGACAGATAAACTAAGTTCTGAAAAAGTCAAAAATTTAGAGAACGGCAATAAAGATTACAAAATTATAGAAATTTATAGAAGCCGAGAAGTTCGACAATCGTATTTCACATCAATTTTGACCACTATACTCTCCACGTTAAATTGTTTTCCAATTTTATGGAAAGAAAATCCAGAACTTATTTTGTGCAACGGACCTGGCACTTGTGTTCCTTTGTGCACTATAGCTTTTTTGTTCAAAGTTCTGTGCATCAAGCAGAGTGTTATTGTATTTATAGAAAGTTTCTGTAGAGTTAAAACTTTTTCGTTAACAGGAAAGATCTTATATTATTTAGCAGATCATGTTGTTGTGCAGTGGGTATATTTAAGTAAACCCATGTATAATAGAAGTGTGTTTTTATAAGTAAAGATTTGTTGCAATTGTAATAATTAATAATTATTTAACCTGAAATGATTTACAGAAAATGTCTCACAGTATCATCGTGACGACAGTTCCTTGGGAGTCATTAACAAGAGAATTAGATCATATACCTATTGAAATAAAATTGCACTTACATTCCATAATTAAGGTGCTACATACATCTGACGAGAAATTGTAAATATTAAAAACTCAAACAATATTATCATATATACATATATAGATAAAATAAAATTAAAACTTTATATATTTTGTCAATTTAATCAATTGCTTTGAAACAAGCAATAAATTTAATTTTACATTATTTGGTTAAATTGATTAATGGCAAAAAATGAAATCATTAATTAGAATAAACCAGTGTCTAAAATTTACATAAGTTATAATTATATTGTAATTTGATTTTCCTTATAAGAACTTTGGAAAAATGGATAAGCAGTGCAATAGAAAGAGTGGAAGCTTGTTTAGACCGCATATGGGAAGCATTGAATTCAGGCTACTGGAAAGAGGTTCCCATGGAATATAGATATTGTTATTCTCTATGCGCTATTGTAAAGGTATAAAATATTTATGATATATATGAATATATCACATATTGCTTGGAAGCTTTCATTAATTTATGTAAATTCTTTTTGGAATTGCACCGAATACATTTAGGCAGTATTATTAGAACTTGAGTACAAAATTAATGCTGAAGGAGGTCTTATTGATGAAGGAAAGAAAAAGACTGTAGTAAAGAATATCATTAATCAAATTGATAAAGGTATTCTGTTAGGTGCACCTCTTCCAAGTGTGCCAAATTTATTGACAACTATTGCTAGGAATCTAAATAATTATTATGCTGGTAAATATATTTATAAGAATATTTATGTGTTAATAATATAATAAATTATATTATTAATAAAATTAATGTTAATAGCAAATTTTGGTACCATGAATCTAGAAGAAATTTCAATAAATTACGAGGAGATTAATTCTTTAGTCTCTAATTATCCAGATAGATATTTTGAGAAACCTTCAATGGAGACATTTTATAATAAAATTTTTAGCCCGAAGTCTCCGGCTATATTAACAGGTATGAATTATAAATCTGTCAACAATTTATAAATCAACAAAATGTTTGATCTTGTATGTAACTTGTGTGCTGTGACATAGTTTTAAAATATATTCATCGTATGTAGTATTAATATTTAATAATTTTATATTATAAAGAAACTTTATACATCCTAGGCTGTATGAATTACTGGAAGGCACTAACGTTATGGCGCAATTCTGATTATTTAAATAAAATTGCGGGATCTCGAACAGTTCCGATTGAAATTGGATCCCGTTATACCGATACCGATTGGACACAACGTTTCGTTAATTTTTCTGAATTTTTACAAAAATACATTATTGCAAATAACAGCGAAGTTGCTTACTTAGCCCAACATCAATTATTTGAACAGGTAATTAATTTATTGCTTACCAGTGTAATCCCGCTTTATAAAAAATTTTAAATCAATCTTAGATACCAGAATTAAAAGAGGATTTCGAAATACCGGAGTATTGTTTATTCTCGGATGAAGAGAATGATGAGAGTTTATCAGAAGTTGACATAAATGTTTGGTTTGGGCCTGCTCACACAGTGTCGCCTTTACACTTTGATCCAAAAAATAATCTACTTTCTCAGGTGAAAAATACTTTAAATTACTTGAGTTATGTACTAAAGAGTTTTTTTTCGATAATTTTTATATAATTTTACTATATTCACATATCGTAATTGTAATTATTTTTATTTCACAGGTGTTTGGTTACAAAAGAGTGATCTTATACTCTCCAGCAGAAACAGAGAATTTATATCCTTATGATAGCAAATTACTTAACAATACCGCGCAAGTAGATCCGGTAAAGCCAGATTACAATAAGTGGCCGAACTTTCGTAAAGCCAATGGCATGACATTTTATTTAAAGCCAGGAGAAATGTTGTATATTCCACCAAAGTGGTGGCATCATGTCACCGCTTTTACTCCGAGTTTTTCGATTAGTTTTTGGTGGGATTAATCTTATTCTGTCTATATAAATATGTAACAATTTACGAATGGATCAAATAAGATTTCTTGTTATTAAATTTCCACAACCTTCATGTTACAACAACATAATACTGCATATAATATTGCAACTCAATATAAATTCAACACTCTTACTTATTATCACTATTATTATTAAAAATAAGATATTTATACGGATGTAAATCCATAATTTTTACCAAAAAATTTGTTCACAATCACCCTAATAAAAATCAATAGCTTTTAGTCAAATCGATAATCGATTAATCCGACATTCACAAATGAAATTATCGAATCATAGAGAGAAAATACAATACAAATAACATTGTAGAATGGAAAATAGAATATATCTTTCAATATCTTAAAATGAAGATTACGTATGAATTCGAATAATTATTAAGGTACTAGCTTCAAACATTAATGTAAGACTCGTGATTGCTAAACAAAAGCACAGCACACAGGCGTTTAACAAAAATAACGTGGAACTCTATTAATATCCGGCGGTCTACGTCTTCAGCATGGTGCTTACAGAGCGTGCGTGTACATAGAGCTTGTCAAAGAGAGTATACAGTTTATTATTTAGTGATGACGAAAGAGGACGCATTCCCACCGATCATTAAGCTTCAGGTAAAAATGCGTGTTCGTCAATGATGGACATTTTTTCATAACGTAAATCCCTATTTTAACTTTCTTAAATTTCTTGCTATGTGAATGCTACGGCATGCACGGTAATCTTGAAATCGAACGTTTCGCACAACAATTTTCTGTAACTGCACGATTTGCAAACATCGCTGTTGATAAAAGTGTTTACTAAATCTTCGATTGATATGCATATGTAGTTTCTAAAAATATATTTGAGCTCATTCAAATGCTGCATTATACAAATGCATCAATAGTTGGGAGCATCAATTTGCGTTATTAAAAAAATATATAAATTTTAATAATGCGCTAAATTAAATGTAATTAATGTCGGATAACTGAATCACTGGCTGTCGAAGTCTGCATAAACGCTCGCGGTGATTATTGGACATTGTCCAATAAGCGATAGCTCGACGCTATTTTTAGACAAATCTGTCAGAACATTGTAGTTATTTTATCAGAAAAGTAATCTTTCTGTATTTAACATGGTAAATAAATTCACACAATTATACAATTGTTAACATTTTTTCTATGGTATACTTTATTAAACTATTACCATTTTTATTTCAATATTTATATTCTTTTGGGAAAAAGCGATTTTGTCTAATTTTACAGTGAAAATAAATTATAACAAATTTTAGCAAATTTTCTAAAGTAAAGACTTTGTACATAGAGTGCTTTTAATTATTATTAGCAATTTATCTTGAAAGATAATGTTATCAACAATAATGTTTAATTAATCGGTTATCAATTTGATAAGATTAATATTATATCATAAAAATTACATGTTTGTCATTATTTCAAAATTTACAATGTATGCCTCTTCACACTGTCTCATTTGACACAGAAAGAATTTTAATTGACAATTAAAAATTAATATCGTTACACTGGAGATTTTACGTGTATCTATAAAATCTCACAGCCGATTGGCGCGCAAGAGAATTAAGGGTGCAAATTTGGCAGCATAACGAAGTCAGGGGTCGCGACCTTGGATGAAGTCACGCGAGTGCAAAATTGTTACGAAGGAATATATGCACGGGGTGATACGCATATATGCATTACATTATTCTTCCTACTGGCGACCGTATACGGACTATAAAGATTTTATTGATCGTGATGTGCAACGACAAGCTGTTTTAAGATACGATTTAGAATGTTGACATATTCACCGGCCAATGGCTGTGGTCATCTTTTGAACTTTTCGACATATGATAAAAAGTTAATATTTGGATCAATTTAATCAGCAGAACACGACGGCACAATTATTGATGGACAATCCGTATTTGATCGTGCCATTTTTCATGAGATTAATATCGCGTAATTTTTATAATTTTAAAGAAATCAACTGTGTGTGTGTGTGTGTGTGTGTGTTAAGAGATAAAATATAAAGTGACTGAAAGGTAAACGCTAAGAAATAAACGTTAGCAAAAAAATACAGCACATGTAAAAAGTCTCAATTATATTAAATTATAATTGTTTTATTATTTAATTCTTTCTCTGATTAATCTCGCGCATATTCGGTCAACTGTCTTTACATTCACTGTCCGAAAAGAAAATAGGCTTCGAGAGCAAACGTTGTTTGAACACGTGTAAGCACGTGACAGTTCGGAAGTGAAATGTATCACCTGCAACCCCTACAATCCTTTATGAGTTGCGCGCTATCATCCCCGTGGAAGCGTTTTCTATCTACCCTGTCGGTAATTCAACACGGCGACCACTACGGTGTGCATTTTTATAACATCCCTCCAGTCTAAACCATTTCATAATACACGCATACGCGAGATCAAGAGGAAAAGATTAGATGCAGCGACGGAGAAAAAACATGAGAAATGCAAGAAGGGATGAAGAGAGGCTTATTGTATTTTAAGAATAAATCTAAAAAAGAAGATCACATCGAGAAATGTCTGCAAACTTTATTATTCTTATTTTGATTAGAGAATTAGAAGATCTATAATACTAATCGTACATAATAACATGTATGAGTTGTTTTTGTATTTTCTACTAAAATTTTCATATTAGTTTAATTATAATATGAACCAATGTCTTTTAGAAATATTTTATATAAAAAATTGCAATAAATACATAATAATAAATTTAAAAAAATAATTTATAAAAGAAATCATGAATATCTTATCTAATTATTTAACAACAAAAAAAACGTGCTAGTGAAAAAACACTGTTTAAATCAGACCAAAGTAGTATTGCATTGTATTTAGAAAAGAAGTGTGAGAAAATCTAAAAATCTTACAATTAATTTTAAAATACAGACTTTATTCTTGTGCAATCATTAATTTTATTATTTTACTGCAATAAACTATGCAGCACGGAAGATCGAGAGATATCATGGCCATTTAAGATAGCGGCCTGCCAAAGTTTCACAAAGAGCCAGGATACAAAACAAAAATGATATTTACTGCTGAAAAAGCGACACAGCGCATTATGGCAGAAAAAGAGAAAGGGAGAAGAGAAGAACTGGGGGGGTAGGAGGGGGTGCGAGAGGAAACCGGCGAAAACGGACGACGCATGTGCTTCTCGCAAGGGGTGCGAGTGAGCCGGCAACCACCCTCTCGGTGCAGGCCGCCCCCTCCGCCCCTCTCCCGCCCCCCCGAGCGTCCGTCTTCCCTCTATATATGAGATCGTTGTCGCTCGATTCTGCGCCGTTGTGCATTCGCGCAGGGCGGCTCCTACCTCCTGACACTCTCTTCCTGGCGTCACCGTGCACGCACCCCCGGGGGATCGTGTGCAGAAATGGTGGCGTAACGCGCGTGGCCGGTGTTAAAGCGGAGAAGAGCGTCTCGTGCGTGCGCGACGGCCGACGACGTGCAAGTTTCGCTGCCAGAGCGGTCGAACGGCGCTTTCCCTGGTCTAGCCGTCAGTCACAATGGTCACCGACAATACCAATCAGGTATCTAATAGAGGCAGTATAGCGGTTCTCAGAGCCGGCACTCGCACCCTCTTCCTCTCTCCCTCTCTCTTTCTTTCACGCTGTCTCTCTCCGTCTTTCTCGTTCGTGCCTCTCTCATCCCTCTTTCTTGCGCTCGCCGAATTTGACCAACCGAGGGAAATGAGAGCGTGGAGCTTTCGAGTACACGTTTGACTCCAAGTTCTAAAATCGATATACACGAAAGTATCATGTACGAATATCGGTGTACGCGAAAATATCATTTATCATCGTTTGAAGAATTCGCGGCGCTATGATTCACGAACTATGAGGGTCAAAGTGATCGATGGTTGTAGCAGGATCGTAATAGTCGGCGATTGTTAATGCGCTAATTGCTAAAGTTTCGTTCAAGTTTCTATATTTAAACTTCATAATTTTTTTGAATACGTAATTTCCGATGCTGCGATTGAAGGAAAAAATATATCTTTACCGCAATTGTTACATTCTAATTGTTATACAGGTTACTCTTGCGTGCAAGACAAACTATGACGATTTTCAAGCTTGTAACTCGCTAAATTTGTATTAGTTTCAATTGACGGTCTCACTAGCGCGGTGCAATATCAAGTTCGGGCAACGAAGCTTCCCCGAGAAATCGGGAAAGTGCATAAGAAGGGTAGGCTAGCACGCTGGCAGGGCGATGCGTAAAATACACCGGATGCATGGGGGCGTTTGGTCGCGACAGTCAGCGAATGCGGCACATACCAGTGTTCGAAAGAATGCGGCAATGAAAAAAAAATGCAATTTATTAAGCACTGTATCGAGGTGTTGTGCAGGAGCCGGCAGGAGCGACCAGTCAAAGGTCAGGGTAACGGAGTTATAGCGCGTGCACCAATAGCGTTAACGCTGGCTTACCACCTGGTCGACATAATCTCTTATCGTGATGAATCACAGCGGGGTGCAGGCAGGGACGAGGCAATTCTTACTTTATGAGAAAACGACGTGTGCCAAAGAAATCACGAATTCACCATATTAATTAATTTTAGTTTACAACTTAACTAATATTCTTTTTTCTTTAGTATAAATTTTCGGGACCAAATTTTGCCACATATTAAATAAATTTTTTTTTCTATATTATGTGTGATATTGGAAAGAGCAAACTTATAATAAATTATTAATCTTAAAAAGTTCTTCAAAAGATTCTTTAAGCTCTTTCTGTATTTACATGCTTTATGTAGATTTTCTTAGCCAGAAGATTTTAGAATCGTTCGGGAAAAGAATAAATTTTGAAAACGTTTAACATATCTTTGGCTATTTACAATTACTTTAAAGTGAAAGTAATAAACATATATCGCTTATTTGCTGATATAACTCTAAAATCACGATTTTCCAGAGAACGAGTTTGAATGTTTTAAATCTTTATAATTTGAGAAGAAATTTAGGCATTTCAAAATAATGTTTTTATCAAATTATAAATTTACGATATTTGAGTTATGTCACTGTTGCGGCAAATGAGCAATATGCCATAACATTGATTGTTAATAAAGGGATAATAATAATAAGCACAAAGTGTTAAATGCATAAAAAAAGAAAGGACAGAGTTGCATTACTGCTATAAACCAGGTAGCTTATGCATCCCATCTACATATATAAATAACCACTCACGCACTCTTTCACCTTTTTTAATACTTTTTTAAAACTCTTTTTGTGCTTTATCGCTATCCTCTCTATTTTTCTCCGTATTATTTTTTTATGCAATTGGAATTGCTTTGTTTCTACAGACATTTATTACAGAATAAAATGTTTTGCATTTAGACTGATGACACGACAGCATTTCTTCGCGCCGCTCGGTCCGGCAATCTCGAAAAAGTAGTCGAATTTCTCAACACCGATTTAGACATTAATACAGCCAACTCGGTAAGCATTAAGTTTTAAATATAATAACTAATTATGGAAGTAAATTAAACTTCATTATTATTTTTAATGACTTTAATTATTACATTTTTATAAGCATTTTATTATATTCTACTAAAAAAAATGTAAGAATTAAAAAGAAATGCTTATTATTTAATTTAGATTTAAATTTTATTTAAATAATTGTGTTTCTTATTGTAACAGTTGTATTTTTATGATAGTCATATTTGCGTTTGATTGCAGAATGGTCTAAATGCCTTGCATTTAGCTTCGAAGGATGGTCATGTTGAAATTGTAACAGAGCTGTTAAAAAGGGGTGCGAAGGTAGATGCGGCGACGAAAAAAGGAAATACCGCATTGCATATAGCTTCGTTAGGTAAGAAAGAATAATTCCCGCTATATCAAACACACTGTTTTAGCTGTATTCTCTTAAATTTTGCATACTAATTTTCTAGCTGGCCAGTGCGAAATAGTCAATATACTTATTCAATATGGTGCTGCCGTTAACATCCAGTCTCAAAATGGATTTACTCCTTTATATATGGCTGCGCAGGAGAATCACGATCAAGTGGTCAAGCTTTTGCTCAGCAATGGAGCCAATCAGAGTCTCGCAACGGAGGTAGAGATTTTATCTACTTTTTCAAAGTATACTCAATCAAAGACTGAAATAAATACATCTTTAATAAGCTCAACTTTTTCACGTATAAAGAAATCATTCTCGCGTGTAATAATAATAATAATAATAATATTAAAATTAACAAATAATATTAAAATTTAAACTTATCGAAATTATACTGTTTTAAATTGTTAATAAATTGTAAATTGTATAATAAGAGAAAAAATTATGCTTTTTTAAATTTTTACATTTAATTAAAATAAATAAAATAAATTTAATAATTAAAATAAATAAAAATAAAATTATTTTAACATTTTTCAGGACGGATTCACACCACTCGCCGTGGCGATGCAGCAAGGCCACGACAAAGTGGTCAGTGTACTCCTGGAAAATGATTCGAAAGGCAAGGTTAGACTGCCGGCTCTGCATATCGCCGCTAAGAAAGACGATTGCAAAGCTGCTGATCTACTCTTGCAGGTAGGCTTTAGGATAATTAAATAATTAAACAATTGAATTAGAAATAATTAAGCATTTTCACAATTCAACAATTGAATGTTATAGAACGACCATAAGCCCGATGTGACATCAAAGAGTGGTTTTACTCCTCTTCACATCGCCGCTCATTATGGAAACGAAGAGATAGCACGGTTATTAATAAAACGAGGAGCTGATGTAAATTACTTAGCTAAGGTGAGGGCAATCACTATGATAAAAATAATCAATCGAACAAGCAATTTGAAAATAACTTAAACTTTAAATTTTTGAAAAGGTAGATCAGTTAAAGATTTTTTAAGGGTAGATAAGTTAATAGAATGTGTTTTGAAAACAAGAAATATTGTGCAAAAACAATATAAAATTATACATTTTTAGTATTGCATTTAATAATAAATAATGTCCTTTTTTATGTCAAAAGTAGCTAACTTTGAGATCATTTTAAGAATTTTCTGAATTGTTGTAAATAGCGTTTCTGAATGAATTATTTCAGCTTTATAAAGCTTTATAATTCGTAATTGTGTTTTTCAGCACAATATCAGTCCGCTACATGTGGCAGCAAAATGGGGCAAGAATAATATGGTGAAAGTATTATTGGAGAACTCAGCGCAAATCGATGCTAAGACTAGAGATGGTTTAACCCCGCTTCATTGTGCGGCGCGATCAGGACATGAACAAGTTGTCAGCACGCTCCTTGAAAATTCAGCACCGATCAGCGCGCGTACGAAGGTACATTTTTAATTAATACTCTATTTAATGAAAAATTTCAAGCTTTTTTCGTAGTCTTTTCTTATTATATTTTCAACGTTATTTTTACATTTTAACGACTAAATTATGAAAGAAAGTTAACATTAAAATTGAAGAATAAGATTTTATTACAGTATTTTAAATTGCTACTTTTTTTTATCGTCCACTTTTATCTTCACTTTATTAAATTCTGATTCTTTTCTTTTTAAATGTATTTCCCAATATTAACTGTTTTAAAGTTTAATAATTTAAATTAAAATTTTATTTGATAATTAATATTTTTGTCTTAAATTAAAAATCTTAAACTTTCTTGTAGAATGGACTCGCACCGTTGCACATGGCTTCCCAAGGAGATCACGTGGACGCTGCGAGAGTATTGCTGTACCATCGAGCGCCGGTAGACGAAGTGACCATTGATTATCTGACTTCGCTCCACGTTGCCGCACACTGCGGACACGTTAGAGTCGCTAAATTACTACTCGATCGAAAAGCCGACCCAAACGCTCGAGCTCTGAATGGCTTTACGCCGCTCCATATCGCTTGCAAAAAGAATCGCATCAAAGTAGTGGAACTCTTGCTGAAGCATGGAGCGTCCATCGAGTCGACCACCGAGGTAACACAACTCATTTCTTCGTTTGCACTCAAGCATCTCGAATTATACTCTCATAAATGTCTCTTCGCAAACTATAAGTCACGATTATTTCTACACAGTGTCAATATAGCAACGTTCGATGGAATATTACGAAGCCAAATGGTGATATCAATCGCAAAAATTGCACAAAAGTGATCGTTATTTAAATATATTTTATGTACAAAAAAATCACGTTGAAATGTGTCGCACATCAGAGATAATTAATGTATCTGATATCGAAAATAATCTTTATCCGTTCTTCTATGTCCCATAAAAATAAAATTGATTCATTAATTTCAAAGACTGGTTAAAGGGTCGTGCGTTACTGACAAAATTAAAATTGACAAAATTTTTTTCTTTTATATTGTGATTATTTTTACGCATTGACTTATTCGGTTGTCTGTCTTCGAGACGCTAATCGCCCAAATGATACGGAAGAAAATCAATCAAATTAACTTTGGAGTCGTATCGAGAAGTCGAAATATTAACAATGTGTGTTTTGCAGTCCGGACTGACTCCATTACATGTGGCCAGTTTTATGGGGTGTATGAATATCGTGATATTCCTACTACAGCATGAAGCCAATCCTGACGTGCCAACTGTCAGGGGTGAAACACCCCTGCATCTGGCAGCTAGAGCTAATCAAACTGACATTATTCGAATTTTGCTAAGAAATGGTGCCAAAGTCGATGCTCGTGCAAGGGTAAGTAAAGCGTGTTGCATTCCGACTCCGACCCTCTTTTTGCCGCTTTATCGACCTTCAACCAGTGATTATCGCTTGTTTAAGTTAAAGCGACAACGAATACCGAAGTACCTTTCCAAAATTTGTTATAGAAAGCCATTTTACATACGAATAATCACTCATATGCACCCCAGTATACAAAAGCATGAGCCATTAACCAGTCTCATATACCGACATTTAACTTTAACGCTTCTTACTGACAATTTGCAAGTAAATTTTGATCATTTTCCAATTGCAACTAATTGCGAATCCATAATTTTCCACGCTTTCTTCTCTGATCGCTTATCCCTTAAGGCACTTCTTAAGGCACAGTAATACAAGTATTACATTTTCACGAATTTGCCGTGACCGTTTCACAATTTAATTATGTTGTCATTTGTACAATAGTAATTTATATTATTTTATCAAAAAAACTAAACAAAATTTAAGAGAAAAAAAAATAGATAAATAAATCCAGACAGCATGCTAAAAGATATCTTAAAAATGATGTCTTTTAGATGCTTTAAGATATGCACGCTATCTGGGAAAATATATGACCAAAAAAATATTTTAACATATATGTATATGTATATTGCAAGAAAAATATTTAAATTTATAAATTTCTAATAATCGTCAAGTTAATTATCAATGTTTGCATAATCGGAATATCTGTGCCTCAAAGAGTTAATATTGCTTTTATTAATTTGGTAATTTGATAATTCCAATTTCTTTAATCTTAAATCACACGTCAACGTCACGTCGTCTTCACGCTTTCATCTAATCGCAAATAGGATTTCTCTACATTTTTCAACACTATCTTGTTCTTTTGTAGGAACAACAAACGCCGCTTCATATTGCGTCTCGATTAGGAAATATCGACATTGTCATGTTGTTAATGCAGCACGGTGCAGCTGTAGACACCGCCACAAAAGACATGTACACGGCACTGCATATCGCGGCGAAGGAGGGTCAAGAAGAGGTAATGTACAAAGAGTATGCGCAAATAGCGGATTACATCGCCGCGCAAAGCAGAATATACTTGTTTTGGACTCGGCAACGCGAATACTTCATTTAAGATGGAGACAGGCTGCGGACACAGCTTCGTTATCATTTATTATTTGTGCATATTGTTTGCATCGTCCATCTCCCACATCTTTGTTTCATCTCTTGTGTTAATGGACATTTGTTTATGTTGATTATATATTTTATGTTATGTTTATATTCATCATGTATATTCGTTATGTAATAAACTTTTTCATTACATTGTTTACTATTTATGTTACCTTAAGTTTTTCATTTTCACGTATTTCACATTTCGTGAAATATACTTTAAATATATAATTTTATCTTTTCGCCGCTTTTTCCTCTTTCCCGCTTCCTATTTTCGCTGCGTTCCGAAAATCTACAAATACAAAAAAATCTACAATATACGTAACGTAACCCTGATGGAAAAATTTTTCTGATAATTTAACGAAATTTTGCTGAAATGTATTTGAAAATTTCTCTCAATTGACCCCATTAATTAATTTCATAAATATTTCAGCAATTTTTCATTAAAAAGTAACAGTTTTCAGTTTAATTCAGTAAATTTCATAATGATAATTATTTCAAAACTTTTATTACTTTTCAGCAGTATATTTTTCTTATATTTCATAGTATTACATTAAATTTTCATACGGAAAATTATGATTCATTTTGAAATATATTCAGTAATTTTTCAAAAACTTATTTTACTTTTCATTGATTTTATAGTACTTTCAGCAAAATATTTCCATCAGGGAAATTATAGATTTTTAGTACTGGCAGTAAATTTCGGAACGTAGCCTTTATTAGAATATTTGGTTATACGAAGATATAAACAGGTTGAATGAGCGTAGTAGTTTCACCTCGTGACATTTGACAATTATTATTCCTCTAAGACTCGATATCGATTGTCAAGCATACAACGTCAAACCAAACGTTACCCTTGTATTTCTGCGTCTCATAAATAATTTATTAACGCCTTCGTAAAGTTCGTACATGAATACGCGTGGGTGGGATATGACTTATTAAATAAGCATTAACCTATATGAATAATTTTCTGATTAGTGACATCCATTATCATACTCATAATCGTATTATATCGTTCCGTTACACAAATACATTTTTAATAGATTCTCCATTTTTAATATTCATCTATCTTGCAAGAGATAATTTATATATTTTTATCCTCAACTTAAATTTTAAATTTTATGTAAGTATATGTAGAATAAATATTTGTTTCGTATGAAAAATATTAGTAAAAGAAGACTGATATACTTAAAGTAATGAGAAATCTATTTTGTCCGGAGAGTTAAAAGCCAAATTTGCTTGCAAAAATCTATAAGTCAAGACTAAGATATATCTAAAGAACTTTTTTTGTAAGAAAAATTTTTTGACAAACAGGTGGCGGCCATTCTTGTGGAGAACAATGCTTCTCTCAAAGCTGCAACGAAAAACGGCTTCACACCTTTACATATCGCGGCTAAGTACGGAAATATGAATGTTGCAAATATACTTTTACAAAAAGAGAGCAAACTCGATGTTCAAGGAAAGGTTTGTACTCATCTATATGCAGATTAGGTATATTGGATTGTGTAAAAAATGTGTTGATGTGAAAGCAGAAGAAAATTATTTTATTATAAAATTATACACATTTTTTTATTAGTATTTACATTGTAATTAGTATGCTATTCTTTCAGAACTTTTAGAAATTTTTTAAACAAAGAACTTAAAAGGATCTTTGCAAAAAGTTATTAAAATGTTTAAAAGAAATAAAGAATAATAGATTAAAGTTTGCTTAAAAATCCAAGAATTTTTACACAGTATATTATATTTTGGATCTCTCAAAAGGGTTTGATTATGTTATGCGAGACTTGTGTCCGATATTTCAGAACGATGTTACACCCTTGCAGTTGGCATGTCATTACGACCATCCTAATGTTGCGACTCTCCTATTAGAAAAAGGAGCGTCGCCTCACCTTGCGTCGCAAAATGGACACACTCCGCTACATATCGCTGCTCGCAAAAACCAGGTAAGTCTATCTCGAATTAACAACTTTAATTTTAAGGTAACAGTGGAAATGTTTTCTTTTCTAATGCAAACTTTTCTATTTCTCTAATACTTGTTATAATTGCAAATAATATTTTGCAAAATCGACATTATTAACACTGCTAGATGGACATTGCTTCAACTCTCTTGGAAAACGGAGCAAATGCGAACGCAGAATCTAAAGCGGGTCTCACCCCCTTGCATTTAAGTGCACAGAAAGGCCATTACGATATGACAAATTTATTAATAGAGCACGGTGCCGATCCCAATCACAAGGCCAAGGTAAAAGAACTTTCCCTCAAATACTTTATACTTTAATTTTACATTTACAAAATTAATTAAAATCACTACATGCAATTTTTTATTTACTTTCTATTTATAGCTGTAAGAAATTCCAACTTTGATGTATTTTCTTAATGCTGCTTTTAAAATTATTTTACGATTTCTTCTACATTTGTAGCGATCTTGTTAATATTTAAAATAATTTTTAATATCAGTTTTAAAACTGTAGAAAAGTATCGTCTTAATATTTATTTATGAATTAATATTTAATAATATTTATATATGAAAACGGCAAGTTTCTCATTTCTCATCTCTATTAATTAGAATGGGCTCACGGCGTTGCATTTATGCGCACAAGAGGATTTTATTAGGGTGGCCTCTATCCTGATGAAAAATGGAGCCAACATTGAAAGTCAAACAGAGACAGGTTACAGACCGATACACGTGGCCGCACACTTTGGAAATTTGGCAATGATACGTTTTTTGTTGAAACATAACGCTGAGATTGATGTCAGAACTAATCAGAATTACACCGCGCTTCATCAAGCCGCCCAGCAGGGCCACATTCATATCGTTACCGCTTTGTTGGAGGGAAATGCTTCACATAAAGCACGCACCAATGTAAGCAATATATTACTATTGAATACGGGATTATCATTAATATTAATTATAATATAATATCAGAGTATTCAATGCTCTGATCTGAATAAATTATTATAATGTGTAATAGTTGATATATTCCTTGCATATAAACATAACATTGATGTAGTTGAGGTTATTACATTAATGAATATATAATAATGTTTATTAATTAATATTTTAACTTTAATAGATTAAATCAATATAATTAGTAATATTTTTTCTAATAATTAATTAATATTTTAGCTGATCCCCTTTTAAAATTATATATTATAAATATATTATAAAAAATTATTTAAACATTGCACAAAAAAAATGTAAATTTTGTAATGCCGAATTTTATAAATTTGTGAAACTTGTCATAGGATGGTTTAACAGCACTGAACATAGCACAAAAATTAGGATATATCTCTGTGATGGAAGTGCTGAAAGGTTTGCTTTATGACAGTGTAACTCCGGATAATAAAAACTGGGAAGAGAAGTACAAAGTGATAGCTCCCGAAAGCTTACAGGAGACTAGTTTCATGTCCGATTCAGAGGACGAAGGAGGTACGTGCCTATGAGAATACAAAATATATTAATGTAAGATAATTAAATCTTTTAATTTAAAATTTTTAATTTAAAAATCTCCCTTTTAGCTTCTGATACAATAATCAATGAACAGCCTTATCGATATCTCACGGCAGACTTAATGAAAAGTCTAAGAGATGATTCGTTGCCTTTTGATGTTACTAGGGATGATCCTTCACAGTCACATAAAGGTAAAATAAACTAAATAATAAATTATTATTCAAAGCTGCTTATGTTGGAATTGACTTTAGATGATAGTTAGATTCATGGAAATAAAATTTGAATTTTTTATAACAAAGAATTGAAACTTCTAAACTTTAGCAACTTATTTTAAATTTAGCGCAATTACATTACTATTAGTTTGATTCAAGCAAAACTATTATTAAGATACTTTTAAAACAAAATAATTACGCTGTAAAGAAGAAATGTCTTATGATTATTTCTATTTTAGTTACGAAAACAGAGAAGCAAGAATTTGCACAAAGCAATAATTACTGTTTAGCGGAAAATTTCGATAATTCTACTGATGGATTCAGTCTAGGGTGAGTGCTAAATAATTTTTGCAACGTAATAGATATATAACTACATTTTTTAATATATTAGATGTGTAATTGTGTGGAATTATTGGTGTGTGTATGTGGTTGTTTATATTTTAAATAATAACAATTAAAGAAATTTAAAGACATCTCTGTTCGAATCAGATTTAAAAGTAAACGTTTTCTTTTACAGGAAGCTACATTTCAAATCGTAAGTATAAAACAGTACACAGGTGATATAAAAAAGGCAAACAAACAAATACAAAAAAGTATGAAGATCCAAATTTACAGGTTTTTAATAAGCTTTCTGGTGGATGCACGTGGTGGCACTATGAGAGGATGCAGGCACAGTGGTGTGCGCATCATTATACCGCCTCGAAGAGCGACTATGCCGATTCGCGTAACATGTAGATTGGTGAAAGTGAACAAAGTGGCAAATCCGCCTCCTTTGATGGAAGGCGAGGCCCTCGGCACAAGAATTATTGAAATGGGTCCAGTGGGCGCGAGATTTTTAGGGTAAAAATGCGTGCTCTCTCTCTCTCTCTCTCTCTCTCTCTGTGTCTGGGTATATTTTATAAAAATATATATATATTTTTTATACATACCTATATTTATTTCTCACAGACCCGTCTTAATTGACATACCACACTTTGCGTCCGTTCAGGGGAAAGAACGAGAAATTATTATTCTCAGAAGTGAGAACGGAGAAACTTGGAAGGAACACGATAATTCTGCAGATAATGATGATACTCTTCTTAACACATCTTATGGTATACAATTCGGAGAGATTAATATATTAATATCATAGTTTAATTTTTATACATTAAATATTCTTTTACATACTTTAATTTATTATAATTAATATAATTATAATTTTTTACAATTAAGACAATATATATATTTATTATAAATACTAATTTATTATAATTGCGTTATTTTTTTTCAGATCCTCAGATGAGCGCATCACACTCAGGTAGAATCATTCGTATACTTACGACGGACTTTCCGCAGTATTTCGCTATTGTAACCAGAATCAAGCAAGAGGTTCACGTTATCGGCGCTGAAGGTGGCATTTTAATATCCAGTGTAGCGAATAACGTGCAAGCCGTTTTCCCCGCGGGTGCGTTAACAAAGAAGATAAAAGTTGGCTTGCAGGCGAGTAAAACTCTCACTTATATCAATGAAAGTACAAGAAGATGATAAAAAGATAAAAGTTTTATTCATCTTTAGGCGCATGTTATTCCCTCTGAGCTCACAGCTAAGTTGCTTGGCAATTGCGTCGCCGTATCGCCGGTGATTACGATCGAACCCAGAAGACGCAAGTTCCATAAACCGATAACTCTTACGATCCCCGTGCCACAAGCCGCCAACAAAGGAATGATCAATCAGTATGGCGGAGAGACACCTACGTTACGACTTTTGTGCAGTATCGCAGGTATCTATTTGACATTTAAAATCAATTAAAAATTTTAAAACAAGATAAGTGCAGCTTACCTTTTAAATTTATCGGTATTTTGCATGCACGTATTATAAAAAAATAATTCAATGATTAATAAAAATTTAATGACTAATAAAAAAGTATTACAAGGAAATTATTTTTATAATTCACATGAAATTAATATTTGAAAAGTTATTTAAGATCACGTTCTTCGTATTATTAAAAAATACTTAAAATCTGTTCTTTGGAAAAAAAAGAGATTTTGGTGATATAAAATGTTACAAAGAAGCATAATTATCAGCAGTTAAACTAATGTAAAGATTATTGTTGTCGAATTTACAATGTTTAAATTAATTTGTCAACTTTAGGTGGAACCAATGAGTCACAATGGGAAGATGTTACTGGTTCAACACCACTATCTTTTATGAATGACAGAGTGTCATTCACTACCACTGTTTCGGCAAGATTTTGGTTGATGGATTGCAGAAATATCGGCGCGGTGCCGAAAATGGCAACGGAATTGTATGAGGAATCTTTACACGTGCCATATATAACAAAGTGAGCGACTTTTTTATGATTCATTAATTAATAACTTAATTTTTATTAGTAAAAAAATAGTAAATAAACTCTTTTTTTCTATGCAGCTTTATAATTTACTCAAAGAGGATGGACCTGTTGGAAGCTACATTGAGAATATTGTGCATGACTGATGGCAAAGAAGGCATTCATACCTTGGAAAAACAAGAGGAATTTACAGAAATTGTTAAAAGTCGCGATGTCGAGGTATTTTTATGATATCAAACCGTTTTAATTGCAAATTATTTAATAGGCACTCTTTATGTAAACCAAATTTTTTGTCAATGTATAATCTTTATTAATGGTTTATATTTAGTATTTTTAAATTTAATAAATATTCTAAGTAGAAATTTAAATTTTATTAAATTTTAAATTATTCATATATGTTGATTAATATTAAGCATTATCTGAATATTTGTTTAATAGGCACTCGACGGGAAAGATCTTTACATCGAATTTAGTGGAAATTTAGTACCGGTAACAAAGTCTGGTGTGCAGTTGAAATTCACGTTCAGGGCTTTCCGACAGAACCGATTATCATTCCATGTTAAGGTAAAAGATCCATTACTGGATCCGGTAGCAAGAATGTTATTCATGCGAGAGCCAAAAGTTGCTAAAGGAGAACCACCTCAGCAGCCAATTTGTGTATTAAATATTGTTCTTCCCGAAACTATTATTAAAGATCGAAGGCAAAAGAAGTTAAAAGGTACGCATGTTGAATGTGCTAATACAAAAAATTTCAAAACATATCATAAATTGCCTTGTTTTTTTATTCAAAAATATATGATAAAATAAATTATAAATAATATTTACAGTTTCAATATAAATACTTGAATCATTATCAAATTTATTTTGAGATTAAA